TAAATCAGAATCCTGAATAATAAAACAGATCTACTCGTTTTCATATTATATATGAAAATAAAAAATATGAAACAGCTGAATCAAAATCTTGACAACTGTAATAGATTTATTCGTTTTCGTATAACATATGAAAATAAAAAAGAATGAAATAGTTGAATCAAAATTTTGATTAATGCAACACATTTACTCGTTTTCATAATAAATGTGAAATTGACCACCTGGAAAAGAATGAAATAGCAAAATCAAAATCTTGAAAATAAAACAATTTAATCATTTTCATATTATATGTAAAATTGTGCACTTGAAAAACGAATGAAACAGCTGAATGAGACTTCTCAGTAATACAATAGATTAATTCGTTTGCATATTATATATGAGAATGGCCACCTAACAAAATGAAATAGCCGAATGAAAATCTTGAATAAAGAAATAGAATTACTCGTTTTCATAATATATATGAAATTGAAAGCAAAAACAGAAATAACTGAATGAAAATCTTGGATAACGAATTAGATTGACACGTTTTCATATTATATCTGACGATAAACAAAATGAAACGGCCGAATCCAAATCTTGGATAATATAATCGATTAATTCGTTTTCATATTATATATGAAGATGACGGGTATTTGTAAAAAGCGCCATGACCCACAAAGACCCCTAAATTGGTAAAAGATATTACTAATAAATAGAACTCTGTGGGTTTACTTTACGAAGACCTATGAAGGCCTAAAATAGTTGAAAGTAAAAATAGTTTTCCAGTACAGATTGTTTTTTCCAATCTACCAAAACTCACAAAGACCCATGTCTTTCGCTGGTTAGATAGAGCTACTCCAGTTGTATACATCCTGCAAATTTTAGCTTTGGGTGTGGGTTGGTGTTTGGGTGTGGGTGGGTGTAGCTGTGGGTGTCAGTGGGGGTGGGTGTGCGTGTGTGGGTTGGTTTGTGGGTGTGGGTGAGTGTAGCTGTGGGTGTGAGTGGGGGTGGGTCTGCGTGTGTGGGTTGGTGTGTGGGTGTGGGTGGGTGTAGCTGTGGGTGTAGCTGTGGGTGTGGTTGTGTATGGGTATGTGCGTGTAGATGGGGGTGGGTGTCGGTCGGTGTATGCGCGTGGGTTTGGGTGGGAGGGCAGGTGTGGGTGGGAGAGCGGATGTGGGTGGAAGTGTGGG